GCTCGGGTGAGTTTTGGATAGGCTATGGAGCGAGTTTGGACTTAGGAAATAGCTTGTGCAAATCTGTTCTGGTGCAGGTCTCTAACCTCGCAATTGCGAGGTCAGTGTTCGCAATTGCGAAGGTCCTAATTGTCTGTCTTGGTCACAATTGCGAAGAAATCTTTGCATTTGCGAAGAAATCTTTCAATTTGCGATCAAAAAGGTCGCAATTGTGGAGGTCCATAGTTCTCATTTGCGAAAAAATCATTGCAAATGCGATGATAGTAGATGTGTAAAGGCTTCGCAATTGTGAGAGCTTTTTTGCATTTCCAGGGGTTCGCAATTGTGAACCCTAGGTCGCAATTGCGACATCTCTGAGCCTGGACTTAAGCTGAGTTAGATAGAATTTCTCTCATTCTTCCAAATTTTCAAACGTAGATACCCTAGAGGCGATATTCCCAAGAGTTCTTCTGCCACAATTCATTGGTAAGTGATTCTAACCTACTTTCTTTCAATTTTTCATTACATTTCTTAAGATTTCAATCTAAAATCTAGTATTTTCATGGTAGAAATTGGGGGTCTGGGTTAGAATTAGTTTTTTTTTTTTTTGTAAATTTGGAATTTTGACCTCAAATTGAGTTCGAATTTCGAAATAAATTACATAACCAGGCTCGGGGGTGAATGAGTAATCGGGTTTTGGTCCGAATTTTGAGTTTGGACCAAGCGGGCCCGTGAGTTGACTTTTTCAATAGTGACCTAAATTGAACCTTTTTCATTCGTGGGTAGTTCCTAAGGCTTATTTTGAATTGTTTGGTTGATAATTTGCTAGATTTGGTTGGTCCTAAGCTTTGAGTTGATTTTGGAGTGAGGTAAGTGTCGTGGTTAAACTTGACTTGAGGGATTAGGACTTATTTGCCTATTTGCTACATGTCCAAATATTGGGTACAACGTACATGTGAGGTGACGAATACTTATGCGTTGTTGTTGGGTCAAAGCATGTGGGTGGGACTTGGTTCTTGTAATTTGTTTCCTTCGTTGATCATGATATCCATGCTTAGACTAGTTAATTACTAAGTCGATAGTTCTTTCCGCATTTATGGGCTATCTGTGATAATTGAGTATTGTTTCTGAAGTTGAGGTTGATATTGTGGAATGACTGTTGATGTAAGACTTGATCTTGCCTATTCTATCTTCCTATTGTTATATGTTCATTGTTACATGGTAAAGGAGAGTTTTAAAGCATGAAGGGTGATGCCGTACCGCATTTGAGAGTTAAAGCACGAAGGGTGATGCTGTGTCGTATCTATTATTTCATGATGAAATTGAGAGTAAAAGCACGAAGGATGATGCTGTGCCGATTTATCATTTTATGGACAGATTGAGAATAAAAACACGAAGGGTGATGTTGTGCCATTATTACTGTTTCATGGTGAGGCTGAGAGTAAAAGCACGAAGAGTGATGTCGTGTAGTTTTATTCATTATGTTTATTCATTTTATTGCTTGAAGGTTTATTGACTGTTTCTTGTTATCATTCCCCGCTATAGTTACCGTATCTTGTACCCCCTTTCGTGTGTCCCCTCCCAATAGTACATGTTTAGCCTTTATTATTTGTTATGTTTATATTGTTATCTCCACAAGTTTAAATACGTGTGTGTGTCCTGTCATGCCTCGTCACTACTTCGTCGAGGTTAGGCTTGACACTTTTGGAGTACATTGGGTCGGTTGTACTCAAATTACATTCTGTGCAGATTTTGGTACCGGTCCCAATTATTCGTGAGGCGTTTCAGCTCGGATTAGCATTTGGAGACTCGAGGTAGATCTACTGGCGTACGCAGCCCTTGAAGTCCCTTTCCTCATTCCCTATTTACTGTTCCTTTCAATCGAGATAGTTGTACTTATTTCTAACCCTATTTGTTAAGACTCTAGAAGCTCGTGTACTTGTGACGCCAGATCCGGGTTATACTAGATATCGGATTGTTATGCCATTTCGTACTTCATTTTAGCTTCATTTCTGTTTAATTGGTTAAATTGGTCAAAGTGGTTAAATTTTGTAAAGAATTACTCTAACGCTGGCTTGCCTAGCAAGCACTACTAAGAAATATGGTTTTAGCGACGGACAATTTTTTTAGCTAAAACAGAAAAATTCGTCGCTAATCTCATTTAGCAACGGATTAGCGACGGATCATCAAGAAATTCTGCTAGCTACGGGCAATTTAGCGACAGACTAGCAACGATGTTCGTAGCTAAATCCAGTTTTTTTGTAGTGAAGTCGAATGTTAGGCACCATCATGATCCCAAAGGTGGGAATTCCGTGTCGTGACACTTCTATTGCTTTGATTTGCGTATCACAATGTGTCAAATTAAAAGAAACCTTCCCCTTTATATAGTAGAAAAATTTCAGTCCTAGTACAAGTCTAAATAAGGTTAAAAAAAATCTCTTTTTTCAGGTAAATGCGATCCGCATTTGATGTCGGATGGGATTCGCGCCGTAATATCCGGTTGAGGGAGAATATTACGGCTCCCTACACAACATGCATAACCGTTCTCCGTGTTTCCTGTGGTCCAGAAACCTTACTTGGTATGGGTCTGTCATTCACCGTGCCCGATTCCAGATGCATTGTTCACCCCTCCCGAATTCCGATACGAGGGGTCCTTCGGCATCACTTGTAGTCGTGTCGACCCATGCTTCCCTTTTGTTTCCTCATCATGGAATCAAGAAAAACTCTGCCCCGATTTTACCTGTACACAATTATAAAGAGATTACGCTAAACATTTTTAAAATGTACATTCTTCTTTCTTTAGTTCAAACTTAGTCGACATCGGCTATGTTCCATAAAAAACTCCTTTTTTTCTTCTCAACTCCGTGTATAAAATTAGAGAGCAGACAGCAATACCTTTTTTGTTTAATGAAAAAAGTACCTAATTGGTTTGACTTGGTTCTGAGCAATGCAAGTAATTTCATTGTAATTAGTCCCTCACTTTTCAATCTTTACTTGGTTTTGAGTGCCTCTAATTAACTTTGTGTTGGGTGTGCGAACAAAGTCTTACATTGGTAGCTGAAAAGATTGGAAGTCTATATATAAGGTGTAGGGATCTCTTAATGGTGTAAGGCCTTTTGGGAAAAATCGTGCGGGTTTGGCCCAAAACGGACAATATCACACCATGTTAAGAGTGTATTTGGGCTAGTTTAGCCCAGCAACTGGTATCAGAGCCCAGGTTCAGCGGGATGAGTATGGAGATGGCAGAGTGATGGTGCGGGGTCGTATGCACACAAGCAAAAGCTAGTTGCGGGCTTTGGGTGCCATAATACTCTAATAATGTGGGTGGCACACAGTAATTTCGGAAATTGACCCGTGGATCGTGGTAGTGGGCCACGTGGAACTTAGTTCGAGAGGGAGATTGTTGGGTGTGCGATCAAAGTCCCACATTGGTAGCTAAAAAGATTGGGAGTCTACATATAAAGTGTAGGGATCTTTTAATGGTGTGAGGCCTTTTGGGGAAAACCGTGCGAGTTTGGCCCAAGGCGGACAATATCACACCATGTTAAAGTGTATTTGGGCTAGTTTAGCCCAACACTTTGATATTTTTATTATATGGTCAAGAAATGCATTCTGTAACTCTCAAACGGTGTGTGCAACTATAATATTTTTAAAAGGGGCTTTATTTTTTAATACAGAAGTCATATAAGTATACATTTGTCACCAAAATAGGCAGCCATCAAGTACTATACTGACTGTTTCCTGAATCTGAATGAAAGTAACTAATATTTTTTTAAACTGATGTATTAGTCATGATAATTGGGGTTTTGTGGATTATTAAAAGAATAAATGGTACATGAGGGTCATAATAGTATTATTTAGTGATATTCCATAATTCTTTTTTCACAAGAATAACCTTATTCTTTTATGTACCCTTTATTTGAGAGAAGAGGTCAATTATTATTACCTCTTTTGCTGTTTCAAAATGACATTCCAAGATAATAACGAATTTCCTCAATTTTACATTAATATCTATGTATACTTGAACATACAGGAAAACTGATGATGAGTCATTTTACTTACTTAAATTAAAAAAAAAAAACTATTTTCTCACAATTAATTAGAAGTAAGCAATGTACCACTAGAGTTTATGATGAAATAGTAAGCACTCTCCGTCCTTAATTAGATGTTTCGGATTTGAGCCCTAGTATGGAGTCTACTTTGGTAGAAGGCGCTTTACATACAAAATGGAGCTTAGTAGAGTGAATCCAGATTAGTTGGGCTTCAAAGTGTATAGTGAATACCACAAGCGAATCTAGAATTTCTAGTACATGAGTGCAATATAAAAAATAAAAAATAAAAAAGGAGGAAAAATACATTAAATGAGAATTAATCCTTATTCTCTTGGTAAATAAAAACTTTCAACCAAGTGCACTATTCAACCTTCTTGCAGCTAACATGAGTGTTAACTGTTAATGGTTAATATTATACCAACTTTAAAAATATGTACATAAAATATTTAATTTTAGGGAAAGACCGTGGGTTTACGTGTCCCATAATCTCCCAATAAATTCGCCCTTCCGGGATACCAAGGGGAAAACCAAAAAAGAGAATTTTTGGAGGAAATGATTATGTTGTAATTTGTAGTTGGTGAGAATTGATCATAAATCAAAAACAAGCACAAAATGATTTGTTTACTAGGTCGATTTTAGACACTACTATCTGCATGAATCTTTAATTTGAATTGCATTAATGAGTATCTCACCTACTAATTTGATAAAAGAATGGGTTGGCAAAGCTGAGTATGTCTTTCACCACGAGGTCAAAAATTGGCCACACGTCATAATAGCAAGATGACTTTTCACTTTTGTAATACTTAAAAAAGACTCTTATAATTACACTAATTTAGGTAAGTGGGAAAGAAGGAAACCAAGAGGAAAAAGTTAGGAAAAAAGAAAACAAGAAAACAAGTAAATTGTGGTTGGTGCCCAAACCCACGATCTTTTAGACCTATATAATCCTAAGATAATATACATAATTCTATTGCAACTTAGTTTCCATTCCAAGCTAGCAAAAAACCTCAAAATACCTTTAGCTCTCCAAGAATGGGAAGCTTATCATTTGAGAAGGTATTCTAATATTTCATCCAATTTCTTCTTATCATTAAAATCTCCATTACTTTGCCAACTTTTTTTTAATTCGGATCTTTTTATATTTTTATTTTTATCATTTATGAAACTAAAATTTAACTCATGGGCAGTGTACAGATTATGGAATTGAATTATTATCATGTTTCATTAATACCCAAAAGAATCTTTATCTTCATTTTTTTCCCTTTTGGTTTAGCTGAGGACCTAATTAGGTTAATCCTTATTCTTAGTTTTTTGCTTTCATCTTCTTGCATGGTTTCTAATAT